TCTCTAAATCTGAATCAGTGGATAGTCGCTGATTGGCAGTGACTATTCACTGATTTATCAGCCCTAAGTATGCCACTGGTAATCAGCTAAATTCAACTGGTAAATCAGTGAACTGATCGGATGCTGAATGAATCAGCGAAGATATGCTGATTTAATCAGTTAAAAGTTTACTTATTGATTAGTGAATGTACACACAGAGAATTGTTTCTTAAAATTTATCCTTAAAATTATGTAATCGTAGAACATGGCATTTTGAAGATTTTTATGAGTTTTTTGAAATTTTATTATACATTTTACTGTACTTTAGTAAAATGGGGTAAAATTTCAAAAACTCATAAAATTCTTCAAAATGCCATATTGTTCTACGATTACATGATTTTAAGAATAAGTTTTAAGGGAAAATTCTCTGTGTGTACATTCACTAATCAATAAAATCAATGAGATACAACAATATGTGATACAAACAGTGAGCTCGTAGTACGTTGAAATAACAAAACAGATTGACAATTAGTTACAAATATATTTAGTCATCTGCAATATCCACATTACAAATATTAATATGTAAAGAAGAAACCAAACTTGACGGAAAAATATGATTAGTTTCATAAATCATACTTTCAATGAAATTATAAAAATATAAAAGGGAAGATGGATATGAAACATGGAGTGATATAATTTAAATAAAAGATCAAATGCACCAATTGGAGTTGCTCGACGCGGAAGAGTAAAAAACCATCCGTCACCCTGGACGAAGAAAGTGGTTTGTTGTTGCCCCTGGATGCACATAATGTACGGTTGCACGTTGCCATTTGCCTCTATCCTTAAGTTCTCTTCAGTATGAGGAAGATTTGTTCCTTCCTGTGGAATAAAAATGTATATAACAATAATTTGTAATTGTATTTCTAAGGGTCAAAGCACAAAGCAACGTAATGACTTACGACAAAGACGCAAGCGTAAACGTAGATAGCGCACAAGGTTTGGCGTAAATTTAACGTCATATGTAATTGGAGGTAAGTACGACATACGTCAAAGCTTGTGCGCTATCTACGTTTACACTTGCGTCTTTGTCGTAAGCTATTACGTTGCTTTGTGCTCTGATCCTAATCTAGGTTAGGATGTTCGGCTCGTGCCTCCTTGGCTAACATCGGTGAGACTCGTAATACTTTCAGCTGCCTGCTGAGGGTGGCAAGTGCCTCCTCTCTTACCGGCGTTGCGATAATATTCGTGGCGAGACAATGCAATCGCGCGAGAAGCCACGTTTCGTCACAGGTTTACGTCACCTTCTTCTCCGAGAAAAATTTTACTTGAGAGATGGATCGAACCAATCAGAAATTCTCGAAAAAGTTTCGGAATGGCCATCGAATAAAATTTTCCTCAGAGAAGAAAGTTTCGGAACGTAACCCTGAACTACAACGTAACGTAACCCTAACCTAATGTACTATATGGTATAAGAACTGGCGTACGGTCGGCTCACATGCCAGTTCTCATACCATACATCGATTTTTTCTTTCATTATCGCAAAAATTTTTACTTAGTAATGTGTGTATACTTATTAATGTACTTACCCCAATAAAAGATTCTCTGGAGATAAACTCACGCACGAACTTGCTCAGAGGCCACTAACATGGCCGAACGCGCTGCGCAATCAGCGAGAACGGCGAAGTTCACTGATTCGTCAGTTATATCGTTATAACCACTGACGAATCAGTGAACTTCGCCGTTCTCGCTGATTGCGCAGCGCGTTCGGCCATGTTTCACTGTTTCATCAGCGATGTAAGACGTTACTAATTCAATCAGTGACTTTTCCACTGATTCAGATTTAGAGAG